CCAACTCTTGACATGACATAAAAAAGGTCGGTAACGTTAATCATTACGTTCCGCTGCCACCATCTACTGGCTAACGTTAAACGTAGAAAAATACATAGTTACATACATAAATACATCTGTCGGTTTATAGGCAGGTTACAGGTTTATTGTTGACCACGTAACGTTAATGTTACAGGTTTATCAGGTTACCATTACACTGGGTTTGAGTGAGAGGATAGAGGAATATGTTTATTTATAGTAGATTTAAAAGATGTCATTAGAGACCCAGTGTAATTAAACAATACGGTTGCAGAGGTCAAATTTGAACATTTTTGTCCACTGGCCAAATGGCTAGCCTAGTGAATGTTGACATTTTACCAGCCACTCAATAGATTGGCATTGTTATTTTTGGCTGGTGCGTGCAACATACAGTAGGCCTACCAGCCACTTGCATGATTTACCAGCATTTGGCTGGTAAATGGTGTTAATGGTAGATATCTCTTTTGGAACAGGTCACGTTTTAATATCACCAGTTCAGTATATTTCAGATAATATTGCAGCAATAGTTTTTTAGTTGCAAATGGCACAGAACAAATGTTTACTTTTAAGTACTTTTAACACAGTTTCCCTGCGGGGGATTAATAAAGTATTTGTGATACTGATTTCTGATTCTGAAGTGTTTTGCTTATAAGTTGTTTGCATTTAGCTAAACTGTGATGTTTTTCCTCATATTGCATTGCAATAGCCTGTTTAAAGTGATCATATAACAAACAACTAATCAGTACTGATACTGTATGCTAATAGATATAGGAGTGATAATAATACAGTAAATGCTTTGCATTTCTTAGATATAGCTGTGCAGTATTCTTACCAGACTGGATAGCAGCAGACAATAGAAGGCTTATTACAACCAGAAGAGACATGAGACTTTTATTTTTTAGAGACTTGAGACTTGACTTGGACTCGTGACCAAAGACTTGAGACTTGATCAAGTCTCACCCCACAAAGACTTGAGACTTGACTTTGACTCGTGACCAAAGACTTGAGACTTGACTTGGACTTGCAAAAAAAGACTTGTGAACATCTCTGGGTCCAGTGGCACAAGACATGCTATGCTGATTTTACCCATGCCGTTGTCATTGATCGTCTTAAGCAGCGCTTTGAAAACACTAAGGACACACTGGAACCTGCAAGCTGCCCTCCTTCCACTAGAAGTTCAATTGCTCCAGTCATTTGGGAAAAATGCATTTTTTGTCAGGTGGATAAGTCTCAGGAAAACCTCCACACTATTCAAGTCTTACACACATCGGAAAATATTCTTCAGCTGGCTCAGCTAGACACAGTATTGAGATGCAGGCGTGCAGGAGTCAATGACTTGATTGCCGCAGAGGGCAAATATCATCTTATCTGCTACAGGGCATTCTCCAGGAAGTACCAAAGCACTACGCCAAGAGCAGACCCATATGCCATTTGCTTAGACAATGTGGCAGATGAGCTGAGAACTGGCCTTGCCAGGGGTGAAATATACTCTTTGAAAACTGTTTGGGAAAGATACTGTGAAATTATTGAAGACTTTAACTTGGAACCAGGAACATACAACAGTCATCATTTCAAGACTAAGCTTGACAAATTGCTTGAAGGGAAAGCATTATTTGTGCAATCATTGAGCCCAACGAAGCCCTTGATGATATTTCCTGAAATGACAGCTGAGGCTGCTCTCCAAAACCTAAAGAAAACAATGGATGATGAACAGGAATCCCAAGATGACACTAAAGGAATGAGAATGGCTAGTTGTGACGATGAGATACTGAGTTGGCTGTATTGGGTGTCATTAAAGATCAAGGCAGACATCAGGGAGTCCCCAAGACATGATGTAATGGGAGGGATTGATCAGCACCATGCAGAAGAAGTGGTGCCTGAGAGTTTGTCAATGCATTGTCAATGCACCTCAAGAGGGCCCATTACCAAACGAAGGTTTGGAAACAGTCACTAGTGACACATCCACAACTGCCCTCACCAATCAATTGTGGTTGGCAGATGATGAATGGTATGCTGGTCCCCATGCTTCTTACCAAGGAACCTGTACAATCCACATGCGTACAGCTGACAGTGTGTGGATGCAAGGAAAGTGGAAGTCAGTGCAGTACCAGACAGTGTCTCTGTCGCAGAAGAGGACTGTATTGCAGTGGGGCGTGTGGATGTGCTCGTGCAGCGTCGTGCATGAACTCCAATGACATTCAAGAGACTAACGGTGAAGAAACCGATCTTGATCTGGATATTGTGGTGCGGCCGCCAGAAAAAAGCACATCAACAACGAGATCTTCAGTGTGCGATGCTCAGCCCTCCACATCAGCACGTGTACTGAGGGCGCAGGGGCGTACAGATCGCCGTCTGTAACCAGCAAACATTGGCCTGTCCTCATCCTCGTAGACACCAGGATTCTAGTGCCCAACACTGACTTGACTATACCTCGTCTATAAATTTCCCTCCCTCTTCCAAAGAAACACGCCTGTTGGCTTGAACATGCCTAACCCCTGAGTTGCTCTGGTTCCTTCCGACCCTAACACTGGATTCATTTTATTTAGGGATGCATGATAATTATCGGCCCGATAATTATCGGTCCGATATTAGGAATTATGACGTCATCCCGATAAACCCGATACCAGTATTAATAGCCCCGATAATATACAATATATTTTTTGGGTAAAAAAAAAGAAAAAATACTGCGGTGTGGGGTGGATTGGGATGAGGGGCGCTTGTTTTTCACTCGGCTCCTCCCGTTTTGCCAGTACTGTGGTATTAGTGGTTTAGGAAGAGGGGAGTTCACAAATCCAGCGCTCCCTAACTCGTGAAGCCAGGACAGTGGTATGGGCGTTGGAGCTATGTGCAACTCAAGGCATATGCTCGAACCGGAGCTGCCTGGACGCTGCAATCATGTTGCGCACTATCCGTGCTGAGTGTGCTGACTTTTCGTACAATGTCCCACTGTCTGGCTTCCTGCATAAAGTCAAGTGCTCGGCGCAGTTGTGGCGAAATGTCGCTCCTCTGTTTTCATTTAAACAGCTCCGTATATCCGTTAGCGCAGCTAGCTAGCACCAGATGCTAACAACAACAATGCACGTAAGGTCTCTCTCTCTCGCTCGCTCGGGCCACACATACACACACCCTCCCGGTCCTCCAGATGGCCAGTCGGTGCCTGCCGGTGAGCGTGGAAGTGTGGTCTGCCACAAGCGGGCGGCAGGAGCGGGGCTGTCAGCATCAGCTTGTAGATGGTATTTTAAACTCGATGCGCTCTGAAACTACGGGGCGGCCGAGGAAAAAAAATACACATGCGTTAATCGCGTTAAAATAATTAGTGGCGTAAAAAAATGTGTATTATCGGTTATCGGTATCGGTCTTGAGAAGCAGGAAGTTATCGGTATCGGTATCGGTTTCAAAAAACCAATATCGTGCATCCCTAATTTTATTGTTTTAGTTTTTATTTAATGTTTTATGTAAAATTTTGTATACATGCAATGGTTCCATTACTGGGAAGATGATCCTCAGTAATCCACAAAAATATTTTGTCTTATCATGGTATCCAAGTGTATTGTCAAAATACAACATTAAAAAGTCAAAAAGCATTAGCACGAAAGGTCACCTCGAGAATCATATAGATTTCCGCTTGGACATTACATTATTCAAACCTGTGTAGTATTGCACTGTATGAAATGACTGTGCTCTAACTTGGCAAAAGTACCTAGCATACATTGGAATCATGATTCCTAAATTATTTGGGCTACTATCTCATGTTTCCAAGCTGATATTCACTCTAAAAACATGTTTTCTTTTAGGCGGAAATAGAATTTTTGACTTTTTTTCAATGGTCTAGCTCTATTTTCTCTGACACAGTAACATCCATTTACATTCTGACACTTCTGCAGCCATCCCACTGCTGTCACCTTTCTTTTGATACCAGGATTATCTATATGGCCCTTGTGATTGGGGAGATATTCTATATTTATTGTGGGCATGTCATTTCGAGCAGGCAATCTGAAAAATTGGCCTGAAATGGCCTCTAAAAGTCACAAAAATAATTGTTCAAACTTGTCAACCACCCTAAAATAGGTACATAGGTCCCCTCTTACCAAAAAAATATGTTAACAGCTTCTACCCAAACATGGCAGCAAAAGTGTTAACGGAAGCACTTTTCAGGATTGGCCCCCTGACTATACACAACAAATACATTTACTGATCAGATAGCTCATAAGAAGGTAGCACTACCAAAGCACTAACTATGTTTTAAATTCTGTCAGAACGAGAGACTGGTAGAAACTGTGGCAGGAGCTAATGTGCGCTGCACGTAGCTAATGTTACTTACAACTAAAGTGCTGGTTTAACAACAACTTGTCTGACAAGTTGCATCCTCATTGCAAATTAGTGTCTCTAGCTCAACATATGCTGCTTCTGAAGCTCTGTCTTGTGCTGTGTGCGTCGGGCTTCGGCCGGCTGGATGTATAAGCAGGATGTATGCATTTTTTCACATTTACAATATATGTAGAGTCTATGGTTTGCATGGTAGCAGTAGTTCTTTAAAGGTTATGGTTAGTAAATCCACAGATTCTTTATGAGGTAAGTATGATTTAGATTGTGGTTGTTTGTTCACGCCTTTTGTCATAAACGTTGTGTTTGCACTTACTTGTATGTACATAATAAATGCACATTATTCGTTGTTATATCGGTAAACTATAAGAAAATTGGAGTAACCCACATTTCAATTATGTAATGGTAGCATTTTAGCCCAGCATTGTTACATCTTGATTTTCTGTAGCCTACTAAGCTATTTGTTATTGTAGGTTGCATCAACATTCATGAGAACCTGCTATAAACATCCAGCCCTATATATCTCCCGTGCTGTGTGTTATTGCTATATAGTAGGTGCATAGATTGCATAGACGTTGAAGCAGCTTGACCTCATAGATGAAGAAAAACATTTTTATTTAAGAATATTGGAGGTGACATTTTTTTTTTAGTTACCTGACATGGCAAGAGAGGCACGACAGTCTTTACGAACAAAACATTAAACATCTTGATTGAATGCCCCATTGAGCAATAATATTGTTTTATACATTGACTCATATTATTTATTTTAACATGAAAGCATGTTTTTTTCTTTTTTAGTTAGCTTTCAGCTGTTTTACACTTGGTGCCTTTGGTCATTGCTCCTTGTCGTCACTTTCTAATGGCTCTGCTCCATTTACAGTGAACACATGACCTCACATAAGTGTGATGCATGCTACCTGCTCCAGAAATCAAATCTGTGAATCATTTGTCACTCTGCCTCCTTGAGTTAATAAATCACTTAATTAACTCTAATTTACATAATAAAGTGTTCACAGATTACACGTATGCACAAAATGAAAGACTCTGACACACAAACCACACATCAGAGCCATGAGCTCGAGATTACATTCACATTTGCTTCTGGTTCGGTTTTATGGCTCATCCTGAGGCGGATGCGTTGCTCGGAGTAGCGCTCTCCTCGATGGATGTCCAGGTAGGGATGCCACTCTTCAGCTGGAGAGCACAATGACTTCAGACGCTGTGGAAACACGTTAGCATCATTTCAACCTTTCATGTAAAAAATATCTCATGCTGTGCAAAATGCCATGCTTTGGACATTTTGCAAAAGGCATCATTGGTATCTTTGTCCGATTTTTCGGCATTCTTTTCCGGTTAGCACACATACACACCTTCCAAGGGCTTCCCTCTGCTTTCATCAGTTTATATACAGCGACGATAGGAACCAAGAGGAGGATAAATACAGTCATGCACCAGCCCACAGCCAAACCCCACTCTGGGAACTGGACTCCACTATAGGAGGGTGACTCGAGTGACACCAAGGACCAGATCAGGATCACCTATAGACAACAAAGGCAGCTGGTTTCAAACATTACACCAGATCAGAATGTAATTGATTTACTGTTTGTTTGTGAGAAGGTCAAATCAAAGTTTTTTCTATTCAGACATGAGGAAGTTTTATTTATTTAATTATTTACAAACAAACAGAGAGTAATGTGAGGCCTTTTTCCTTTTCTCTAGATAGCTTTTAAGGCCTGAGTCAAGCAGATGCTTCCAGAAATATGGTTAATCAAATATGTTTGCATCAGCTGCATGTTGTACTCACCACTATAAGGCAGGGGGTAATGAAGAACCAACATGCTCTCCACCACAGCCAGAAAAGGAAACTCTTCTTTCCAATCATCATTTCAATGTCTTTAATGAAACGATTTCCCCCTGTAATGAATGAGAAGAAGACAAACATGTACACAGCTGGAATCTCTGTCACCTTTATGTGCACATACCTCCAATTGTCACATTTACCATAGATGTAGCAGACACCAATGATCTCCAAGAGAGCCAAAACTAGCAGCACCCAGCCAGCAACAAACCCATCGATTAGGGTCACCCAGTATATTCCTGCCTATCTCAGACACACACACACACACACACAAACACAGGTGAGTAGGTCAACTAGATGTCGTAAGACAGCTCTAAAATAAAATGACACTCAGACTTACCCTTGTGACACATGGCAGGCCCAGCAGGTAGAGAACAGAACATATCGCTACAGTCAATAATGCTCTTTTGGACTTGAAGATTTGAGGAAAGGCATCAAGCAGGCAGGTTGTGATCACCTCTAAAATAAAGAACATTTTATTGAGAATGCATCAGTGTATTGCAGTAGCAGTCGTCTAATGTTAAGCAAGTTTAAATGATAACTAAATAACCCACCTATTCCTGCAAACTGAGAGTCCAGACCAACAGTCAAAAGCATGAAGAAGAACAAAATTGACCACAAAGGGGAAATGGGAAGCTTAGACAAAGCATCTGGATATGCAATAAATGCCAGTCCAAATTCTGCACAGACACAAAGAAACAAAACATCAGGGGCCACTTAAATGTTTTCCATTATTTTTGTATTAATTGTTGTTGAAGCATTGTGCTTGCCTGACCTGCCTTGACCACTTTTTCAATAGGCACTTGTTGGAAGTGAGCCATGTGACCCAAGATTGAAAATATGGCAAAGCCTGCAAGCACACTGGTACCTAGGAAAAGATGAAAAATAGATCAATAAATACAATATTTTCTAACCTTTTTATAGATAAACACTACTATAGCAGGGCTCCCACCAGCATTAGTAAGTGTCACAACAAATGCATCTTTGAACATATTGTTGTGGAAGGTGTTATAGGAGGCAAGAGTCATGACTCCACCCCAGCCAATCGAGAGAGAGTAGAAGGTCTGAGTTGCTGCATCTTTCCAGACCTAAAAAAAAGAAAAGAAAAAAAGACATACTTTAATCAAAAGATTTAGATATCTGTAGTTAAAAGCAGTGAAAATGGTCAAAGTTGGGTTCTTACCTGTGCTTCTGTCAATTTAGTCAAATTGGATTGGGAACCAATGTAGAACTCTATCCCATCTCTGGCTCCCTCTAGTGTCACACCTCTGATCAGCAGGATCAGAATCACCACGTAAGGAAACGTGGCTGTGAAATAAACCACCTGGAGAGAAGCATACAGTAAAAATTGTAAATAAGTAATTTATTACGTAAAATGTTCTTGCAATGCCACTAGGGGTTTCATGCATAACTTGTTAAACCTATTGCTTGTCATGTTTCAATTAGCATAACCTTTTCGTCTCTGTCAGTAGCATGCACTCACACTTGTAATCTCAAAATAAGTTTATCTAATGGGTGCATGCAAATATGTAAACATTTTTATGAATAGTTTGACATTTTGGATAATAATATATATTTTGCTTTTTATGTAGAGAGTTAAGAAGAGAAGAGTGAAACCATCTGCGTTTGAAATGTGTAGCTTTAGCCAGCAGCTGCTTAGCTTAGTTTAGCATTTAAAGGCTGGAAAATAGGGATATAGCTAGTCTGGCTCTTTCCTAAATTCGAGAAATCCAGCTACCTTTAAATTCACTAATTAACAACTTTTGCTTGCATTGCAGTAAAACCCTGAAAGGACATTAGACAGTTTGATATACTGGCCCTGATGTTGGTCTGTGGATAAGGTATTGGTATTAGGTGGATGTTGTTGTCTTACTTTGCCAGATGACTTGATGCCTCTGATGAGCGCTGCAGCAACAATCAAGGAGCTCAGCAGCAGACAGAGAGCCAAATGCCAAACTACTGGTCCTGTTTCATCCAGGCCGCTGGATCTCTGCAGGGCCACACGGCTGAGGAAGAGAGACTGTTCAGCCACAGCATTTATGATAAGTGTGTGAATTTGTGTTTGTTGCAAAAATGTGTAATCCTTACTCCCAGTACTGCTCACTTGGGCTCTGCATGGGAACTGTGATTGTGTCAGATGAAGGACAGGTGGTGTTCTCCTGAGTCCAGTTGGTCACTAAAACACCACTTACATTGCAGTACACTAGAAAAGTTAAAAAACAAAAGACCAAATAAGTGAGTATTTACAAGCATTACTTAAGCTTTGATCTGAAATGTAGATTGCTCAAGAAAAAAAAAAACTTTAATATAGATTGTATTTTCAATCTTTTTCGGTTCCTTGACTCATCCATTTTTTGTAAGTACCTTGAGGCGTGGTGCTGCAGTTACTGTCAGGCAGACTGAGGCAGCTGGACCACGGCAGAGGAAACTGGAAGGAGGCGAACATGTAGTACAGGCTGTAGGCGATGATGACGTTGTAGTAAATTGATACTATTAGAGTCACCATAACCATGCCAACGCCAACACCTGGAGCGCAAAAGAGAGAGGATATATCAAATGGATCAAATCAATGACTATTTTAAATTGTGAAAAGTTAACAATAAATACATTGCATGATTATTAATTAATTAAGCATACATAAATGAAGGCATACAAGTCAAAAGTTGGGGGGAACAATTCCAACAGCAAACAAAGATCATGACTTTTCATGCTAACTCATTAGGTGTGGTTTAGTGCGTTGGTGTTCGGATCGGGGGTCGCAGGTTCAAACCCCACTGCAGTCAGCATGTCGTTGTGTCCCTGGGCAAGACACTTCACCCCAAATTGCTCCTGGGGATTGCCCACATTCTTGAGTATGTAAGTCGCTTTGGATAAAAGTGTCTAACTAGTAATGTAATCAGGCAGCACCATATCTGATAGCCCTAATGTATCAGCTTTATTCCAAAGTAAATTATCTTTTCTTGAGAGCTGTAGAAAAGCTTTGGTTCTTCAATACATTCCTGAACGCTTTTGTATTTTTCCAATTTTGTGGGGAAATACAGTTTTGTTTTATGCTCAGTAAGGCCTTGTGTCCCCATACTTAGCATTTTTTTCTGAACGCCAGCGTCTTTTTATATTGTTTTTAATGAGAAGAAATCAAATGCCTTCACCTGTTTCAACAATTATACATGCACTTGACCAGTATGTTTTCTTGTTAGACTTTAATGCAGCTCGTACCCTTTTGGTCTGAACAAATTCAATTAATTGACCTTAAAGGGTTTACGGCTTAAAACCAAACAACCAAAAGCTCCTCTGAGATCAAGAGTCATTAAAAACAAAAGACAAAGGATTGTCCACAGTTGACCATTAGCCTCATAAAACTCCTCATGCTTGACATCTTTACATTCAGATTCACCTGATTGATCTTTAACTCTAATGGTCGTCTTACCCTGCAGGATAGGTACTGATCTCCATATGTTGATTGGACCTTGGCTGCAAAACTGTCCGAAGGCACTTTCCAGGAAGAACAGAGGAATCCCAGTCACCACCAACATCACAAAGTAGGGGATAAGAAAGGCACCTGCCCAAAGTGAGGGATTGGAAACAATGTCAATAGTAGTGATTGACAGTAGTGATTGATATCACACAGCAAGTACTTACCCCCTCCATTCTTGTAGACCAAATACGGAAATCTCCAGATATTTCCAAGTCCAACAGCATAGCCGATCGTAGAGAGCATGTACTCCCTCTTGCTGGCCCAGTTCCCACGCTCAGTATTTTCATCCCCATTATCCACATGTGGATCCTGATCATTGAAAAGTTTCCAGTGGTAGAATTGGTAAGAAGTAACATATATAAAATACAACTGCAGTCAGTGAATGTTCATTTAAGGGTGATGAAATACACAGTTCTGCAACGCTTCATGATTATATTTAACAAAAATAAATAGGACACAAAGACATAGGTCATCACTGCAGCAGATTTCACTTTGCTCATATTTACTTATGTAGTAAGTAATTTATTAATGTATAAATAATGAAATACATTATTCTTTTCAATCAAATATTTTTTTCATTTAAGTCTTTCATGCAGAAATTGGTTAAATGATCAGTTTAAGACAATTCCACTTTAGTAGTCAATTAAATAAACCCATTATATATTTACTGATATCTTGTTTAACCTTCTGTTGCAACAGGTCATACAAAATCTACATGTAAAAACCGGTATATATATTTTTTAATTCAAATACCAAATGAAACAAAAAATCTAAAATGTAAATCTTTAGAAATACAGGAAAGTAACCTGTACCCAAGACCTATTTTGTGGTAAATGGTAAGAGTCTGACCTTACCTGGTTGACAACAGCAGGATTTCTGAATATTAAATTCTTGAAACTGTTCCAGCTGTATTCCCTCATGTCCTCCTTTCACCTTAAAGGTTTGTATACAAAATTAAAATCCCTCAGGTAGGTCTGTTTTAAAGTCACCCCTCCCCCATTGGACAGACAAAGGAGTGATATTTTCCAACCAATCACCTGCCTACCCTCCATCCCCTCACAACATTGCTGAGCTGGTTTGTGCAATAATTCTTATCAAGCTTGAAACAAGATGTTATGCACATTAGTAGTTTCCTTCATGATAACATTAGTGACTCACCAACCCTTACTATAAGTGTGATAACTGATAATTTCTGTATCATACTAGTATTTCTTCTACATTGCTCAATTATATGATTCCACAAAACAGGCCCATACTGTGCATGACTCTTCACCTCAGATTGTGTAGCAGTGATGCTAACATTATATTATTAGTATTGATAAGGAGACTGCCCTGACTGGTAAGTGTTTACTCCTCTGTGGGGTGTGTGTGACTCAGGTGAGTAACCATGTCTTCACAACTAAAGCCAGTCCTCTCACTGATGATGGAGAGATCTCATGTTGGTCAGTGACAACAACATGTAATCACTGTGCTGCTAGCATGGGTGCAACTGTGTCACCCATAATCACAACCTGAGGATGTGACCACAATCATGTCAGTTGACAACACTAATGACACAGAGAGGTTAATGAAAAATCCCTGCTAAACCCATTCATTACAAACACCTATTATACTTATGGTAAACGTCATTAATAAAGAGACACTAAAATACTATACTAAAATATATGTATATGGTAAATCTGTTAATGTCAATGTGTTCTGCTCCAGTGTTTAGAAACGTGTTTTTTTCTCCCTCATATGCAAAGGTGAATGATTCATCTCCGTTAACTGCTTTTTGGCTATGAACACCTTGTAAACGTAACAGCAACATACCTTTTAGGTTGATATGTTGAAAAGGTCAAACAGTTGTGTATTTACACATCCAAAAGTCACAGTGCAGCATTTATTATGTTTCTGGTCAACTACCAAATGTAGGTCAACATCGATTGTCTTTTTTTGAACTCCTGAGGAAAATATCAGTATGTTAACCAGCTAAATACTCCACTGGTCCACAAGAAAAAGTATAAAACAGTATCATCAGTTCTCCCTGACTTTTTGGCACTTACAGACAGGGTGAGCAATTTCAGGTCAGTTACATGCAGGGCCGGACTGGGACAATAAGTCAGGCCGGGAATTATACACCCAGCCAGGCCACTACCAAGGGCCTCGACCTGTTGTACCACACGGTAGCTCCCTGCCGTACCTGGAGAATGCGGCTCTCCCTATGAGAGCATTGTAAGATAACAGTCAGGAGAACGTCTTATCTCTTTTCCTTTCTGCACAGCAACAGTCCTCTATAAAACACACACACACACACACACACACACACACACACACACACACACACACACATTATACCATGTGCACACTCCTGCAGACTATCCTATACTCTGTGAGACCTGTGCCTTTGAAGCTTCAAATAAATAACCAACAAGACAACTGTTTGCTTTCACCAGTTTATTATTGATTACTCTCATTGTACATCTTTGCAGTATTGACGAGTCTAAAATATCCACAACACTTTTTTCACCTAGTTAACATTTTTTTGTTATTATTCATGGATATTTTACTCATCACTTCCCCTTCAAATGGAAATATGTGTTTACATAAATGGTGACCAAACCGTTTGAGACCCACAGAGAACTTAGACTAAGTTAACTATCTAAACAGTCCTTTACCTCACCTGAGCTGTAGTTATCAGTCTCTCAGTCTGATAGCAGAGGACTCTCCTCCACCTTGTTGACAGCTCATTATATCCGTTTGCGCAGCTAGCTAGCACCAGATGCTAACAACAACAATACACGTAACCGGTGCGCACGCTTTCTCTCTCGCTCGCGCCACACACACACACCCTCCCGAGCTTGAATGACACACAGAGACCAATCGAGCGCATTAGTGTATGATCTGTATGAAAGTGGCCATGTCGGCAGGCCACATTATGTAGACAGCCAGTCACCCTCTGTGAGGCAGAGTCAGACCCACATTTGCGCAGCGTTGCGTTCACAATACATACATACAACAACAACAAATCCTCAGGCCAGCTGGCCACTTAACATGCCAGGCCATCGGGAAACCTCCCGGTCCTCCCGATGGCCAGTCCGGGCCTGGTTACATGTGGCCACAAACTAAACCTATAATAACCACTCCCTGGTATGACGTTATCTGCCTGTATGGCCACAGGTTACAAACATAATAATGGAGAAAAATATAAATATAGACTTCCTGTGGCCTCTGACTATCACACCGCTGACACACAGAGGGTTCAGCCCTGCTGCGACAGCTCTGCCTCTCCAGCTGCAGGTTGAACTGATAACCTTTATTGTCCTGCAGTCAGCTCACAATAAAAACCAAATCAGTCTTTGAAAAGCTTCTCATGTTGTCTTGCAGTTCATTGCATATTAACTTACAATATTTGTGCCAACATCCTCTTAAGGGAATTCCTCTGTCTTATCTGTTGGTTGTAATTAGTTCGACAAACATGCCATTAGTTAGCATTTCAACTATTCACACTCACAAACAACTTGGATGTAGAGCAGGAAGACACCATCAGTGAGCGGATGAAGATCTCTAGTCTTTTGAAAATACTGTTTGTGTATACATGTATTATAAAGGTCTCGTAAAAGTTCTCATTTCCTTGATACAAACCTTAATATAGCAAGTGCCTGTCTTTTTAACTACCAGAAAGTGACTAGATTTCTCTTAATTCAACAGATAGATGCATCAGGTCAATATGAACAAAAGCGGTCTCTATCCTGAGCAAACTGTAGGACAGTGCTCCTCTGTTTCCTCTTCTTCAATCAGCCATTAGTCCATACAATCACTGAATCAAACCAACATCACACTCATACGCACAAAGACAGTAAGCACAGTGCACTTAAAATACTATGTTGAAAAAGTAAAGTGGTCTTTTTAAGGTGTTCAATGTTTATTAATTCTGTAATAGGCTTTTAAACATTTGTCACTTAATTGAAAAAGCAATGTAATGCATACAGTAACACAATAGTGGTAATTCACAAGGCCTTTTTATGTGTGATTCACTACATTACAGTACGGAAATATTTCACATACATAGATGACCACCCTGTCTCTAAGAGAATAGGTGACTTTATTCTGAAACAGGAGGATTTCTTTACAGAAACAGTTACAACATTTATAACAAAGATAACAATATGCGCCCATCTGCGATAAGACATCACTGTGGGAGTTGAGTGAGAAGTGATAGAGGAATGTCATTCTTAGCGACAGCTACAGTAATGATTTTAAAATATACAATACACACATTAAACATAACACAACTTATCCGACAGACAACGGAAGGCATGCTTTGTAGGAAGAGATTACAAAGATCATTGATCCTCACAGCAACATAAAGGGAGGATCAGGGTCAGATCATTTTTAATACGCAAAAAGAAATATAATATGGCTCCTAAAATATCTCAGTTACTAGGATTATACACTGTATCATAATGCAGAGGGCTCATCTCCCTTTATTTAAGATCAACTTAAATGTTATTCAAATAAAACCAGACTTGACACTGATGACATTTTAAAAAATTGTCAAATATCTGTTGTGAAAAGTGGATTAATAACTGCTGGCACCTGCTGTTATTATTCAATTATGCAATCGCCCCTGCTGTTTTTTGGTTTTGGCAAGTCACACGTATAATGTGTCTCACTGTTGGTGCATGCTGAAAAGGGCCACACATGATTTCATAGGCACAGTTAGACCTCGATGTTGTTGGCCATGCGCAAGCAGAGGGCTGAGTCTGTCGGGATGTCTTCGCGACTGATCTCGTTTCCATCCAGTCGCAACGTCTGTAGTTTGGAGAAGTTGGTCACATCCACAGTGCTGCAGAAACTGCCCAGAGTGAACTCTAAAGGGGAGATGAGGAGATGGTGAGGAGTGTATTTGTGTCTATGCAAATTTGGAGATTTGGACACACTGTATTTGCTAATGTAACAACAACCGGTGGGCAGCATCATAAACTATTGTCCTAAAAATAAATAAGTCAGGGCTACAAGACAAGGCACCCAATTATCTTAGATGCAACGGTCATCTGGCTTTTTCCATTATTCTGTTATCTGGCTGTGATCTGATTTAATGCTGCAAACGACAAAGGTGTGCGACCAGGGAAAGCGGCAGAAGAACATTTTCAGTTTGTAATATTGCAAATAATTAAATATTGAAAACATTTTCTGTGGCCCCAAAACTCATTCTTTGTTTAACTTAATCTAGCTATACATAGTGACATAACAGACATTTATTTGAATGAAAATCAGGATCATTACTTTTTTTGTAAAGATAATCTGCTTTATCAGGACTGTGTGTCAGTGGTTTGATCAATCTTGATTGACAGTGACCTGCAAACATTAGCAAACAGCTCCGCAACCCGGTGACCAGGTGCTCATCGAAAGACGCTAATGAATAATGAATCCTGTTTGTGCTTTACCTTTGATCTGGTTGGCCTGCAGGTACAGATGCTGCAGGGTGGTGCTCACAGGGGGGATTCTCTCCAGTTTGTTGTAGCTCAGGTCCAGCTCCACCAGCCCGGTCACATTGAACGCGTTTGCAGGGATGCCCTTGTCTGTCAGCTGATTGTGAGCTATCCTGATGTACTGTAGCTGAGAGAAACTGCCCAGGAAGCCGTCTGGCAGAGAATCAATGGAGTTGGACTGCATGTAGAGCTGGTGCAGATGCTCGGGGAGTGCCTCTGGGACCTGGGATGATCAATTAAAGAGGGCATGATATTAAACAACTCGCTTTTTTAAAGCTCTTGCACATACACCTGGGTACCTGGAGTGCCCACAACCCACAACTGTGAAACACGACAACTTTGTGGGCTGTCTCAGACAGGAACAAAGGGATTTAACAAGTTAAAAATACAATTTATAACTATATTATAAGATTTTAGGGATCCACTGTTGGTATAAGAAAAGGAAAAAGAACAGAAAACTTAAATG